TCGGCACGCCCGACCTCGAGCCGGGCTCCCGCGACGGCGAGCGCTGCGGCGACACCGTGTCCACCACCGGGATCTGCACGCACTTGCTGCACAGACACTCCTTTCCGGTGAAGGTGACCCGTTCGCCTGACGGGAACGGTTGCCTGCCGACGGCGGAGCGGGGGACGGTTAGACATCAGCGGGTATCGGAACGGGGCCCGGCGGCATCACTGCCGGGGCTGGGGCATAACTGTCGCACAGGTGGTTGATTCAGTGGAGAATTACACCAACATATTGGAGCTTGAATAAGTAAAAATGGGCCACGCTAATGAATTTAGCCAGCTGTTGATCAGCAGCCTTTATAATATTATTTCAGGTAAACAATGTCAAAATCGCAAATGGTGCTAAATAAATAATAATGATTTGTAGCATCTGCAGCACCAGCAAACAGACAATTCAAATATAAGTTAGTCATATCCTGTAGCCTCCCAGACTCCTCCCCAGCCACGGGACCGCCCTCCCCAGTCGCGGGACCGCCCTCCCCAGCACTCCGCTCTCGACATACCTGCAGCGGGCGCACAGGAAGCACTTCTGATGGTAGGTGTTGCCGAGCGCTGTGACCACCTCTCCCTCCACATACTGGCCGCACACGGCACACTTGGTGCCGTGCCGCCGCTGGTAGTCCTCCGAGCAAAAGTACTCGCCATTCTTGGAGAAGAATCCGCCCTGAGCCAGCGACTTGTTACATGCTGAAAACATAAGGGGTGGTGACAATAGTGGGTAGGGATGCTGTTGGCAAGTGATGGTAGCTGCTTCTGTTGTAGCTGTTGGTGCTAACTTGCTTTACATTTAACCCTATTCCTGGCGGGGGGGGGGGGGGGGGGCCTCAGGAGCCCCCCCTGAGGTTTTTTGGTTATTACTCCCAAACGCGTTGAGCTAGGAAGCTCAAATTTTCTGACTTTTCCTAAAAGGCTTCTACGCAACATGTCTGAAAATTTTGAGTTGATCTGACCTCAGGTCAGGTCACCAGAGGCGGTTTGGTGACCCTACCTCAGAAAAGTTTGCAATCACGCCAGAGCTAGAGTTTTTGACCGATCAATTTCTTCTCTTCAGGGTTTAGTAAGGGTACCAGTATGTGCAATTTGTATATCTCGGAATTTTGATATCGGTGACCTAAGGTCAGGTCAATTTCGCGACCACCCCATTATAAGTCAATGGGGGAAAAATCAACTCCCTGTTTTTACCACTAAAACGGGTCGGAATGGCCCCATATACCATACATGACTTCATATACGATCAACCTTCACTACCTTGAGGTCTGTTTTGCTGTTGGGCAGCTGTGAGGTCATGTGACGTCATCAAAGGTCACCAAAGGTTTTTGGCCAATAACTCCGTACAGGAACAAGATACAGACGCGTGCGTGGTCTCATTGTGTTCAGCTCGTCAAGACGCATCGAATGATATACATGATGACCTCGAGGTCACGTGACCTGAGGTCAACCTTTGACCTTGACCTTTCAAGGTCAACATATATATCATTCGATGCGGATTGACGAGAGGATCACGATGATGCCCTTAGTTTGTTCCTATCTTGACTAATTCGAAAGTTATTCGAGAAAAACTCTCTCCATATCTAGCGCCGCCATTTTGACTTTTTCGACCCCTGTGACGTCATCTTTGACCTGACCTGAAAATGACCTTAGTAAAAATTGTAGATCTTGGCCGTGCGTATCCGATGCCGTTTACCGCTTGTCGCTATCTTGCTTCGTTCTCGAGATCTCAGGGGGGGGCCGAATCGGCCCCCCCCGCCAGTTTCTTGTCCCGGCGGAGCCCGCCAGGAATAGGGTTAAGAAATTAAAATAGCATGCACTGGCTGAAGTCAGTAACAGGATGCATTAATGTTGAGGTCTACAAAATAGATAACAGACATGAAAAATGGTCAGGTTTGGGGCAAAAAGTAGTGATTTATAAAAGCTGCTGTCATTTAAATACAAAATTGTATGTCACCATATCAAGAACATGAGAAGTGCCTTATAAATGCACATACCTTTACATTTGAAGCAGTTAATGTGAAAGAACTTTTCATGCACCTTCAATACTTCTCCCGAACATTTCTTGTTGCAGGTGCCACATAGCTGCTTTCCTGGAAAGAAGGATGAAAATGGTTGTTTTCAAAGCAGTTTCATGCTTAATATTACAGCCTTAAGTGTAGGCATAAGAATAAAATGAAACTCAGAACACAGAATTATGCAGCATAAAACAAGGCATAAGCAACCACAGTTATCCCCCCAAAATAACTCAGTTTCAGAAGCAAATGAGGAATTTATTTAATCTTTTAAATGATGTGTGCATGCTTTAATTACACTGAACTTTGGAGTAGGATTACAATTATCAAGATTGCATATGTATGTCTCAAAAATTTGTTTATGAAATAACTAGCTGACATTTATGAACCCAGAATTTCGGATCAATTTTGAAGCAAACATTCTAAAAACTCATGTGAATAATATCTTGATGAGTTGGGATTCATGAGCAAAATTGAAAATAAATAAAACAAGGTAAATAATAGAAAACATGCTTCATCTACGCAATGCTGATGACCTACAGCCCACTCTGTGCCGACCAGAAAGAAACCAGATTTATTGGTATGGAAAATATATGAAAATGAAGATAAATGCATGAACTTTAAAAGTTCAGCAATAATCGATGAATGAAAGGCATATATGAAGAAAAAAAAATTGATAACCTCACGATTACTTTGAAAAATAAATACACGCCCATCTAATGCGGCCAAAATGGCGCATCAGACGATTATAATGAAAGTCAGTATTCGAGCAAAACATAGGCAAAAGACAAGAAACAACCACATAAATGAGCAGTAGATTTAAAGACAAGCTTGTTTTAAAGCTATGGGCACACTCGAGAGTTACATACCTTTTTTCTTGCCAGAGCTGGCGGCACCGGTTTCACCCATCTCGCCGCCCGGGAGCTCAGTGTTTACCGAAAAGGCCTGCAGGGGCGCTGGAGCATGAGCGCTCAGTGCTGCCAAATGAGCGGCCATATGTAGGGAGAAACGGGAGAAACGAAGCTTTTAGCGTCATCTATAAGCGACTTGTGCTGCCACCTACGCTTATAGAGAGGGCAGTGTAGGTAACCGGACAAAAGATCGTAAAGCAGAAGATCGTATGGCAGAAGATCGTAGGCAGTTGATCGTATGCAAAATATCGTAATGGATAAAGATCGTACGACATAATGCTCGTATGGACAAAAGATCGTATTCGCTAAAGATCGTCAAGGAAAATGATCGTATGCCAAAAAGTCGTAATGAATAAAGATCGTACGACATAATGATCGTATGGACAAAAGATCGTATTCGCTAAAGATCGTCAAGGAAAATGATCGTATGCCAAAAAGTCGTAATGGATAAAGATCGTACGACATAATGATCGTATGGACAAAAGATCGTATTCGCTAAAGATCGTCAAGGAAAATGATCGTACGCCAAATGATCGTATGAGATAAAGATCGTACAGTCAAAATATGGTATTCACATGGTGCAGCCCAACTCCAGCGCTTACAAAGCTTATCAATTTCTGTGTTCGCGTAGTAAGTGGCCGTCGTAAGCTCGACCATACATTAATGTTATTTCAGAGCTTAGATGGCTCAATGACACCTAAAAGCAACGCGTTGTATATGTGCCGAATAAATGAATGTATGTGCTGCCGTTTTCATGTACCTATTTGAAGTGAATACAACTAAACCCATGTTCCCCCCAAAAATAATAATACTTTAATAATAAATAAAAATAAAAATACTTATTCCTTCGCACTGTTACATTTTCATATTGAATCGTCATCGCTTTACGAGTCATCAACAGATGTTTATCGCGTTATCACTATCGAAGTCGCAATTCTCCTAGTTATAGGATCCTAGTTTCAATCCAATCCTAGTTATAGGAGTCATTGTTATCGAAGGCCGGTTAAAGATGTCAATTGTCTATCATTGGTTCGAAATCGCCCCAGTAATTACCGAGTTACTGAAATGGGAACAAATTTGGCACCTCTTCTTTTTGTATTTTGCACGTGCATTGGGGGTCACTCACATAGATCAAGGGTATCCGACCTTTGGTAGAAGGGATGCAGCTACCCTATAAAAATTACCGCAAGACAATCGCTCAAGCCGCTGCTGAGATATGGGCCTCTCAAAATCATTACTTTTGCAAAACTGCTTGAACACCCTTGACTTCTCACGTGGCACGTGCCACGACGGCCACTGAGATGTATCAAAAGTAGTCAATTACGGGGAAGAAGGGATGGGACTACCCAGCAAAAAAGGCCGCAGGCCAATCGGTTCAGCGGTTGCTGAGATATAAGCATCTCAAAAGCGTTACAGGCCGGGCCGCTCATACTGAGATTTTCCCGTTATAACCGAACGTTTGTTGTCAATAGTTAAAACACTATTCTTTAGAATTGTGTTTTTCTATTGAAAAACAAATCTGAGTTCCCTGACAATTTGGCAAAAGCTGCCTGATATTCAAAAGACTTCGCTTCGCTCGCTGCGCTCGCTCGCTCGTAACAACACTATTCTATGTACCTATACGATTATTTACTTTACGAACGTAACGTTGCGATCTTTTGTCGAACGATCTTTTACATCATACGATCTTTATCTTACGATCATTTTCCTACGATCTTTTTTGCACGATCCATTGCTTTACGATCTTTTGCTTACGATCCTTGGTCGTACGATCTTTTGCGACATACGATATTTATCTTACGATCATTTTCCTACGATCTTTTTCATACGATCAATTGCTTTACGATCTTTTGCGTACGATCTTTTCGTCGTACGATCTTTTACAACATACGATCTTTATCTTACGATCATTTTCGTACGATCTTTTGCATACGATCAATTGCTTTACGATCTTTTGCTTACGATCTTTTACCGTACGATCTTTTACAACATACGATCTTTATCTTACGATCATTTTCGTACGATCTTTTTCCATACGATCTTTTGTCTTACGATCTTTTGTCACGTAATCGCAGTGTATTGGATTACGTGACAAAAGATCGTAAGACAAAAGATCGTATGGAAAAAGATCGTAGAAAAATGATCGTAAGATAAAGATCGTATGTTGTAAAAGATCGTATGTTGTAAAAATAGTTAAAAGTGAAGATCGTAGGAAAATGATCGTAAGATAAAGATCGTATGTTGTAAAAGATCGTACGACAAAAAGATCGTAAGCAAAAGATCGTTAAACAATTGATCGTATGAAAAATATCGTAGGAAAATGATCGTAAGATGAAGATCGTATGTCGCAAAAAATCGTACGACTAAAGATCGTAAGCAAAGGATCGTAAAGCAAAGGATCGTATGAAAACGATCGTAGGAAAATGATCGTAAGATAAATATCGTATGTCGCAAAAGATCGTACGAACTAAGATCGTAAGCAAAAGATCGTAAAGCAATGAATCGTATGAAAAAGATCGTAGGAAAATGATTGTAAGAAAAAAATCGTATGTTGTAAAAGACCGTACCTACGACAAAAGATCGTAGCGTTAAGTTCGTAAAGTAAATAATCGTATAGAATAGTGTTGCAGGTAAATGATTGTAGCAAAGCCCGTTGGCCGTTAGTCGCACAATATTCTACGAAAAACCGTCACGTGCGTGTGCTGCTGTGACCTGTGGAGTGTGGGGTGCCCCTCTTGGGGTACTCAAGTCTTATTGGGGGTGTTCAATCCAGCATTTGGGGTGCTGAAGCACCCCCAATGATATACAAATTCACCCATGCTTAGGTCACCTTATATAAAAAATCTGCGATATTAAACTACGATACGGTATTGCCCGTGCTGTAAAAAAAGAGCTTAAAGGAAATAGTTCACATTTTAACATGGGTTTTGAACTGGAATAGCAGTTCCGTAGCTTGGGCTGAGACGAGCATAAATCAGGAGCTTTTACAGCCCAACGATCACCCTAGGCAAAGATATTCTATTTCTCGTCCCGAAAAATGTGTCTTGCGTTGAGGATGTGTGCCTTGCATATATTCGCATCCAGTATGAAACGAGCATGGGTCCCGAAAATTCTTCAGAAGCTAGAGAAATTATCTACGAGAACTCTAGAGAAATTCGCTCCAGTGAGGCGCTCCAGTAACAAAAGCACGAGCAGATCGCCCAAATGCCGGTGGCCGCGATAATTTCTCTAGTTTCTGAAGAATTTTCGGGACCCATGCTCTTTTCATACTGGATCGCGAGTGCCTTACAGAAACTGAAAAGTTCTTCCTATATCAAAAATATAGAAAATAATCTTTTGTTGTAAAAAGGTTTTATTTTCTTTGCTGATCATTTTGAACATAAAAAATCACAAATCCATTGCAAAAAAAAAAATAATTTCGTGAAAGTGAACTATTTCTAGCCAGAGTAGCCATAGTAGCTAGCCTCATGACTCTTGGACTATGAAAGGCAAACGAGTCTGTGTGTATAGTTATGAACGCGGCTTCGTGCGGGTTACACCAAGTATGTGCGTGTTCGGCGTTCGCGTTGTGCATTTTCGTATCCGTAAGTGTGTGCGTTTTCTTGTATAGGTATTTCTTGTGTTATCTTCAACCAGCTCGGACTCGGAGTGTAATCGCCACGCCGATTGTGGATTGCTCTTGATCGTCAATACATACATACATACATACATACATACGAATATCCATGACGTCATGTTAATGTTATCCACCAACTTCGAAAATGTTCATACCCACAATTATATGAAGACATTCACAATTCTGAGTGTTCTGGGTGTGGCTTCGATGCTAGAGCATGGGTGTGGATTTTCAACAAAAAAAAAAAAACTTTGGGGCGTCACAGGCATCCGCATACGTCGTCCACTCCAGAAGTTTTGAGACTGGCCTCGTAAAATCCATATGAACAGTGCTAGATACTTGTTGTTCTCACAAGTCCCTACCACAGTTGTTATAAACGTACTTGCGTAATTTTGTTTTTCTACGTTGCAAAAGACGGCAACGGTGTCACCCTGAACATGGCAAGTCGCATGCGGCTTGTCACAGTGGCCAGTGAAGAGCACAGTCAGGTTGTTCATGTGAAGACAACTTGGAGGGTCGCTGTGCAATAAAATTTTGGGATTAGCTTGGCAAAAATGTCCGAGAAACATAGCAAATTGACTCTCAAGTGACTTGAGACGAAAGCTGGATGTATTTTTAACATCAGGAGGAGACCAAGAGACAGAAGGTCCAATGAAAACACACTGACTCCTTCAGACCCAATGAAGACAGACAGCGCAGGTCCACTGGGAAGCTCAAATTAATCCCTTACTTAGAGCAAAAAGGCAAAAACTTCATAACTGGGTCCCCTATGGCCAGATGGTCAACAAGGAATGATTCGTGAAGGTTCTGAGGGAGTTGAGAAAGATATTTCGCTGCAAGAGGTCGGAACTCTTCAACTGTGACCAGGGGCTCCTGCACCAGGGCAGCGCACACACCCACAAGTCCACCATGGAGACGAACTATCTGACACAGATGTGCGTCAAAACCGTCCGTAACCCTTCCCACAGTCCTGATCTGGCCCCCGTGGCTTCTGGATGTTCCCCAGACTGAGAGGGAAGCTCAGGGGCCGTCTTTCGTAGGATGTGGAGGAGATGAATGAGGCTGTGACAGAGTCCCTGGGCACCTTCACTTTGAAGGTCTATCAGCAGGCCTTCAGGCAGTGACAGGAGCGCTAAAGCAGGTGCATTGGACTCGGGAGGTTCCATTTTGAGAGTCATACAAGTTTCATGCTTCTCTGAAACAGACAACTGTCTCTACTGAAAAAGTCTCAAAACTTCTGGAGTGCACCACGCCTAGGTGTGCCCGGTGCCCCTCACGGCTGGTGTGCCCCCTTTGCCAAAGAGAGCCCTCACATTTCACATGTTACCAATAATATCCCTACTGTTTTTTAGGGGGCTATTAATAATACATCGAAGGCATCGATAAATCAATAACAATCCTGTAGAGTTTGTTTCAAGATTTGCATTTTGCAATCGTGGTTGCGGAATATCGACAACATTTTAGGAGCAAGAAGTGGTGCCGCAACCTTTTGCTTTCCAGCCCCCACCCAAACCCTACCGGGCGTCG